GCAGCTCCAGAAAGGGGCCTGCCACCCAGCCTTCCTGTACCTCCTTCTCAATTTTTTTACCTTACTACAGCTTCCAGCCCCACAACCAATTTCAAATTTCTAGCCATGAAATGTGTCCATTTGCCATTAAAAGGGATACAGAATCCCTCCCAAAACCCTTCTTCCAGGTATGCCGCTTCCCTCCTGCGGGTGTACCCCCGCAGCCAGTCCTGTAAAACCGCAAGCCTAATTGGGCTGTGCGCCCTTGCTGGCAGCTCTGTCCCTTGGTCTCTTGGCACCCCCACTGACTTTAGGGCTGACCCGCCCCCCGTCGTCCCTCCTACAGGCTGATGTGGAGTGGAGGCCCCCGCAAGAGCTGCAGGCATGCCTATACTTACACTGCCTCCAGTGGCACCCCGCGGCATTAAAATCCCAACAGATGAAGCGGGATTCAACCCACTGCTTGCTGCTGCTTCCTTGCCCCAAGTCCGCCTCTGAGCGTGCCACCATGTGGCCGCTATCGGCATACTTACCTGCAATAGTCCCAGCTGGCCTCAGGCATTGGGACCACAGCTGTTGATGCTCCTGGTCCCAAGGCAGGGTCGGGTCAAGGGTCACTTGCACCCAGAACAGCTTGTCATAGCGCAGCCACGCAGCCCCATTGTATTCCTTATAGGCACGGTGTATCAGGTCCTAATACTTCACCAGCGCCGACCCCAATCCGGGTAGGCCTGCAATACCACCCCCATATAGACGATGTACGCCGATAGCCAGTTGTCAAAGTTCTTGTCAACATGCATACGCCGAATCTTCTCCAGCTCCCTGGGATCATACCATACACTAGCCTTCACCTCTACATCCCTGAACAGCAGTGTGAACATCTCCACATACTCCCCCCGCCAAATCATAGCCTTTCTGGCCTGGAGCAAGTGATCCCCCAATGGCAGAGAACATTCCATATATACATGGGGGACGTCCACTGCCAGATTGCGGGGGGGGGGGCGCTCCAGGAAAGTGGCTGTCCCCCACTCACCATTGCCGTCTCCACCCCAGCAGGTGCTGAGTCTGAAGGGCCCCCACTCCAAGAGAGAACCTGGCCCTCTGACCCCGGTGCCAAGCATAGGAATGTTGCACTGCCATAGGCACAGAATCTTGTTGCTGCGGTGGCCCCCACCAAACCTACCTCGTGCCGGCGGGCCCTGGCCCACCTGGATGGGAGCCAGGTGACCCCACCTCCAGTGTGGGCTGGTTCTGGTCACCTGCGACTTCAGACCCACCTCCCACCGGCTGCTGATGGTCAGCAGCCATAGTTAGGCCTCGCTGGGCCTCGCCCACGTCAACCTCCATATTCCTGTTTTGGTCATATTAGATAATCCATGGATGCACAAACATACGTGCAAACTGTGGAGATGCAGGGATCAACTACAGCCTCCTCCACTTACTTCTCCCTGAGAAACATGACTGAATAGGGACAATGGGAGTACATCGATCAATCTTCCCAAATTCAACATGTGGAGAAATCAAATAAAGAAATATTAAGCGCAGATAGCATTCTTTGGGGGAGGAATCAATGGCATGATCAAAGATCAAAAGAAAGTCATTCAAACACATTCCTCTAACCTTAACACTGTGGTGTTGGAGATTGCCATCAAGTCACAACTAACTCATGACAACTCAGCAAAATTTTCAGGGAAAGAAATGTTCAGGGTTGTTTTGCCATTTCCAGCCTTTGCATACCAATCCTAGACTTTCTGGGTAGTCTTCCATACAAATACCAACCGTGGACAACCGTGCTTAGCTTCTGAGACCTAATGAGATCAGGTTAGCTTGGATCATCCACACACTACACATCCTATAATAGGGACAGAATAAGGATAGATTATTTTTGGAGTTGCAAGTTTTGTAATGATCCATTATCTTAGTATCTTAGTTTGAGGTTTCTCCCATTCACTCAGTACTGCATGGTAATGCTGCCATTGTAATGGAGTTTTAGTGTGCACAGACTTTTATTTAAAAGGCAAACTGTCGAAGAGGGTACAGAGAAAAGAGACCTTTATCTTCATGTCCAAGGGTTTTTAAATCTTTATATGGCCCACCCCTTGGGATCATGTTTCCTTTCCAGTCCAAAGAGGAAGATCTCCTCTATCACATTTGGTCTCCCAAGCTCCGTATCTTCAGTGTGATCTTTCTATCTGTTGTTCTTCCTAGGCTATAAACTGAAACTGAAAATAAATAAGACCATATGACTCTCCATGAAGGTGGATGGCTCTGATGCTGGGACAAGTGCCGACCCCACTCCACTTTTCCCTATTAGGTTCTAAAACTGTGCTTTTTAGATTGTAAAAGAAATGTTGTACCCTCTGAACTTTTTCAAAGTGCAGAGCCAATTATGGTTAACTTTGTTGTAAATTCTAGGCCTTTGTTGTTGTTGTTGTTGTGCTCTGATGCTGGGACAAGTGCCGACCCCACTCCACTTTTCCCTATTAGGTTCTAAAACTGTGCTTTTTAGATTGTAAAAGAAATGTTGTACCCTCTGAACTTTTTCAAAGTGCAGAGCCAATTATGGTTAACTTTGTTGTAAATTCTAGGCCTTTGTTGTTGTTGTTGTTGTTGTTAATAATAATAATAATAAAATAATAATAATAATACCACCTTTCGATTTATTGATCGCTCAATCCTGCAGAGCTGCTGGCTCTGAGTGATTTACAGTTACACAAGTTTCACAAGGGACTAACAATGATTCATAGGGGTAAGGGAGGATAACATGTAATTCTTTAAATCGCACACGTTTGCAGCCGACGGGGATTTTGTTCAGCTGTAGGCTTCGGACGTGTTCCGGACAGCATTCACTTCGGCTTGGCTTG